GAGATGATTTCTTAAGATCACAGAAAATTTCTCTCATAACGGAATTCCAACAGTGGCCACAGTGAAAAATGGCTTGTCAAAATGGAGGCAAGCTGGCTAACCTGGCCCTCGCCTACCAGAAAAATCTCAGTCTCCGGGCATTCTTGCCAACTCTCAATACATGGTATGGTGCTTCTGAATCGTGCAGAACAGTATTTGGGATTCAATAGTGAGGGCCCTAAAGCCCTACATGATCCTGCAAGATCTTCTGAATCAAGAAGATATTTATTTGGCATACCTGTGTTACTATTGTGTCATGACTGATGAAAACTATCCTTACATGTGGAATCTTTATTAACTAGAAGAAGTCCCATTCTCCAACTGAAGTTTATGCTGCTTAATTACAGCATTTGAAACACCTATCTTGAGGCTCAGAAAAAAAAAAACCCAATAAGCAAGCTTCAACAATACGGACTATTTCCTTTCTTGAAGCCCACCAGTGTTGGACAGTTCATTGCCACCATGTCCTGAGGAACTATGACACTCCCAGACCTCAAGCCCTGTGTGTACAGCTCAGCAACTTGGAGGGATATGCAGGACCCAGAAACTTGCTCCTCTGAGTAAAATGATGAACAAAGGTTTTCACAGAACACATACAGAGGGCACGTATGGGGTGTAGTCTGAGGACAAAGTGGAGGTTAGGCTTTCGACTTAAAGGAGACACACTTTCCTTCCGATGGTCTGCAGGTTAGATCTGTTCACACGCCATCTGTGACCTTGGGCCGTACACATACTGTGCTCAGTATGTGTACTCAACAATGGGAAAGTTAAAGGATGTAAGTTCTCTAACAGATGTAAACAGTTTCAGATTCATAACTGTACACAAGAGCAAAGATGTGCACTTGGAGGGAGGGAAGGGTGCAGGGAGAGCAGCTTTCCCCCAGCTCACCAAGTGGGCTGGAGAAAAGTGCAGTCTGTCACATCAGCATCCTGTGGCGGGGTGGGGGGGGGTGGCAATAGCTCAAGCAGGGACTCTCACTGACTGTGGCACTGAGCCACCACCACCCACCTAACCCGTTCTAGCTCACTAATTGTACACCATCAACCCAGCTTACACATCCCTCCTCCACAAAACGCACAAAACTCATCTTTGAAGGCACAATCCTCAGAGAAAACCTGCCTTGGCCTCCTCACCCAGGGAGAAGCATGCGGTCTTCCTACCCTATCATAGGGTGGAGGCTTCCCTAATGTCCTGCTCTTGGGCTCTAGGGTACAGAGTCAGAAATGAAGGAAATACCGCTTTACACATGTTATCTCAAGACAAAACCTACACCTCCGGTATGGCATGAGAAACGCAGCCCCAGAGCAGGGAAACTCTTTTTGGACACTGCAGTAAAATTCAAGTGAGACAGACTTGGATGCTGTCTTAGTCACCTGGGTAGACGCTCTGCACAGGTGGCCCACTGCACAGCCCGGAAATCCACCCACACTTCCTGGCGATACAGGACAGGGAGCGGCGGCGACGTTCTGGCGGTACCAGGGCAGGTAACAATAATCACTGCTACTCCGGCCGCTTGCCCAAAAAAGCAAGCCTTGCATTTGAATTTTTAAATTTTGGTAGTTGGAAAAGTGGAATTCTGTCCAAAGATTTAACTATCCTGACTATTAAGAGTGGGACAAGCTTGAGAACCAGCCCCAGACCCCTCCTCTCTGACTAGTGAAGCTAATGGCCAGTGGCAATTTCCTGGGTTGTCACACGGAAGGGACAGGCATCTGTGGGGCTGCCTTGGCCTACCTTAGTCAGAAGGGTAGAGGCCCCCCTGAAGCTGCCTTTCCCTTCCTCTTTCCTGCTCCCACACATCCCAAACCAAAGCATTTACAAAAACCTGAGCAACTGGCTTGACAGAGCTGAGACAGAGCTGTAGATAGCTGGGGGGGGGGGGTCTATTATTTCATAAGAAGAAACATACATCCACCTACATAAGAAAACTGTCCTAACAAATGCTTAGGGCACAGAGATGGACCCAAATCCAGGTAGAACAAGTTAATGCCAAGCAAGATGATGAAACCCAAAAATCGTGATGAACAAAAACGCAGACAACCCTGTCGGCCCAATGCAAACTCCTGCAGAGGCAGAGCCTGATAGTAACAATGACATGTTTTAACAGCTAAACTGGAAGCGAGAGGTCAGAATGCAGTGTGGCTGTGACTCAGTGTGGCTGTGACTCAGTGTGGCTGTAACTCAGTGTGGCTGTAACTCAGTGTAGCTGTAACTCAAAAGTGGCCACCAATGCAATTTACTCTGGGGTATTTTATAATCTAATAGGCAAATTGTTTGGCTATTCATTTCAGAAACACACACACACACACACACACACACAGACGATGAATGTCAAGCTCATTTCTAACTGGCAGGAAATCCTAGAAAACTAATTCCCAAAGTGCACTGGTTCTACAGCCATCTGATCTCACCCCTCTCCTCCCCTCCCAAAGCCCCCAACAAAACCACACTGGACATCAGTTTAAAAAGACACTGTCAACATCACAGGTACGAGTCTGCGCCCGCCATGTCGGGATGCTGTCTGAACACGTTGTGGAAAAACGGTCAAGGAAAAGAGGGCCTCAATTCTTCCTGAGTCAAGGTCCCTGGAAGAGCTGCTGTATTACTATTTTTTAATGATTACAATTGAACCAGAAAGTTGTGGGCACCTGGGTGGCTCCGTCAGTTAAGCGGCTGCATTCGGCTCTGGTCCTGATCCCAGGGTCCTGGGATCGAGTCCCTCATCGGGCTCCCTGCTCAGCGGGGAGTCTGCTTCTCCCTCAACCCCTCCCCCTGTTCTCTCTCTCTCAAATAAATAAATAAAATCTTTAAACCAGAAAGTTGGTCCGCAGTTTTCTGAAGTAATTCGGCTGAGCTACAATTTTAGCAAAACACTTACTATGCCTGCACATATTCATTTAATAGTTTCCTATTTACAAATGTGGTAAGTCATGGGGTGATTACTTATATATTTGCATTTTCTGGTCTCCCACGGGCAAAAGCCTATTAAGTCAATCAGCATCTAACCGACTGTTTGATCTTCTAAATATAGACAGTAATAATACAACCTTATACTTAAACTGCATTTGATACTTTTCTCAAAGTGCTTTCATATATATTACCTCATAGTCATTAAAATGATATGGAATAAAGTTTTATTTTTAAGAAAAAGGAATGTAGGACTAGGTTTTTTAAAACTCAAGTTGGTATTTCTTTATTACAAAGTGCAGACTACTGCTGTGTTGCCAGGGTCTGTCCAAAAGAATGACCCCACACATTTTTCTAAATACTGAGCTCTACTGAATACCTGCTTCGCTGGTGTTGCCATGACTCAACATTCAAGACCCTTAAGGTCAGAGAGTGCCAGGCGCATGTGCTTTAGAAAGTGTGTAGCACTGTGCAGACTGATTGTCTATCTGAGCCACTTTTTTTTTTTGCAGTATCCCACAAGGCAGCAGGAAAGGTGGAAAGACCCCACAACCAGAAAGTCCAGAGACCTGAACCCAATATAGCCTTGGCTCTGCCACTCACTAACTGAGACAGTGGGCAAGTAACTTCACCATGCTCTCTTCCAATTTCTGAAGCTGTGACGAAAAGGGCTGGGGTCCTGTCAGTGTTCAGACAGTGCTGGGTATCTAAAACACCTGGAGGGGTTCTCAGCTGAGATCTCACCCCACTGGGAAGTCTGGTCTGGCGTAAGCCAATGCATCAGACTGTTTTAAATGCCAGGGATTTCATTGCCCATCCCCGGTCAAGATTCACCAGACTAAGTGTTAATAACAGCAGGAGCAGCGCCCACTTACAGAGCGCTCACTATGTGCCAGGCACTCAAACCGAGTATCTTACATACATTATCTCATTGAATCCTTACAACAACCCTGAGGTAGTTACTATTATTATCCCTGTTTTCCAATGTGGAAACTAAGGCTCAGGAAGGTTAAATGACTTGCCTTCTAGACTGGCTTCAGAGTCTCAACTCTTAATCACTATCCTTTAAAACTCAAAAGCTCCATGACTTTAGTTAAATAAAAATGGGCTATACCTTACCAAAGTCAGCATGTTTTGTTAGCTGGGCACTATCTTACTAGCCAATTTTCAATTGCATTGTAAGAAAATTCTAATTTAAACCCCAAAATACAACTGGCAAAGGGTCTCTAATGATATCAATGAACAGGGGTTCATTTGGAAAAACACTGAATGAATTTCTCAGGGCCAATATTTTTAAGGCTGTATCTCTGAAAATCACAATGCAAGTCTGTAGGAAAATATACACACTTTAATTTTACACAAAGCCTTTTAAGAAAATACTTCATGTAAAGCATAATCAAGATGTATTCTACACAAAACACTGCACTTTAAGGTAAGAAATCTAAACTGAAACCCTATTATCCATAGGTGAAAGGACGTAAACAGTGCCAGCCCAAAGGTATGCACATTGATCAACCACTTTAGAAAGTTGTCAACACTTGCAGAAGGCCTCGTGCTCCTGGCTTTGCTTTTAAAGAAGACTATGTTTTTAGTTTGGAGAAGTTTTCTCTGCTGTGAATTCAAACTTAAATTTACGTAAGGTTATTTTAAAATCTGATCCTTTTCTATTAGGAAAAGGAGCAATCTAAATGATATTTTTAGAGTAAGTTGACACTTGACCCTGGAGTCCCACACAGTTCAAGCATCATGCGGATGGGCTGTGCTACAATCATTCATGCTGCTCTTGACAGTGTTGAGGAAAAGCAAATTCATTTCATGAACTTATTGAGCACCTACTGCAGGCAAGACAGAGCCAGGTGCTGCCCCTGAGTAAGACACTGTCCCCGTCCTCAAGACTGTTCTGCTATGAGAAAACCAGGGAGCTTACACACACTCAGCAGTGTTCCTCCAAGGCTTATTTTCAGAGCTCTCAAGGAAAGATCCCCTGCTTTAAAAAAAAAAAAAAAAGGTCCCCTGAAAAAACACAATTATAATTAACCCATCAACTTGCATCCCACAATGACAGATAAACTTAAAAAGCAGCATAATATTCTAAAGTTTTAGCTTTCCCTGTCCCACCCTTAAAAAAGGCTAACGGCTAAAACAATTTCAAGTTCACGGAAATGACTGCTGAAGGGGAGTGGCAGAGAGGAAGGTGGGAGGGCCACGGCCCATGTCCAGGTTAAAGGGAACTCTGCTGGACGGCTAGCAGGCTGTGCTGCCTGTCAGTAACCTCTGGCCACGGCTCATCCACACCCTCCCAGGAAGGCCCGGGATTGTCTCCTCCCTTCCTACCCTGCTCCTGGCCTGGGCCTCCTTCAGAGCAGCCACAGTAAGAATCAGGGTTTTCTGTCTAATGAAAACTGAATTTCCTCCTTGGTCAAAGATGACAAACTCTGTCCAAAACATAGTTCTTCCTCCTTAGTATTCTAGCCCAGTTAGCATCCTCTCGGAACTTCAACATTTCCACTACCTACTACTGAGCAAAGAAGAGAATGCAAATCATTCAACGTAACAAGGCTGCACTGAAACGGCTCTCAAAGGGATAGCTATACACTTATTTGCAAATGGCCCTTAAGAAGATGTAGCATTACCTTCATTTAACAGATTAAGAGATGGAGCTGTGGCTTGACAGTGGATTGATGACAGAGCCAGGAAGAAAACTCACAGGCCATCAGTGTTCAATTCCTATCTTCCTAAGTTAATATTCCTTTGGGAGGAAAATAATGTATTTATTCTCTCGTATCAGGTTCTCCTTGGGCAGGTGTGGGAGGTGGTTGTAAAGCTTTAAAAAGAGAATGAAGTGTTAATTAAAATTAGACCTGATATCAAGAATATTAGTAATATCTAATTGATTAGGTTCAGTTCATATGATCCTAATTAGCTTCCATAACAGTAACTGAACAGGAAAGGAAAAGGCCCATTTTTCAAGGCAAAACACATTTGGGGGTTAAGTCCTTAGGTTTCTAGGATTTAATCAGTGTTTCCTGGAAATGACCTGCCCCCTCAATTACGCATTTTTCAAGGAGAGGTGAAATGACAAAATAAATATCAAAGAGTGTTCCCAATAGGATATTTACAGACAAGCACAACAACAAGAGGGAGGAGGATATGTGAAAGGAGAGAAGCACAGGAGAATAATTTGGGGTGATTCACTTGAAATCCACAGAGAGTGAGAGAATGTTTCTCCTTATCCTCTACCTAGCCTGGATCTAAGGTGATAAGGGAGGAGAAAGGTATAGAGGAACGGTGATTGGGACCAAGTTAGCCTCTCGAAAACTCTGTCACAGACATCTGAACCTGGCTGTTGGATTCCAAGAAGAGACCTCCCTCCCTGGTATTTTAGCTGATTAAAAAAATACAGAGCTGCTCAATTCCTTGGCCAGTATGTCGGTATGCAGGGACACCGTATCAAAAAAGGATTCCCAAGAGAACCTGTACATGACCACCATTTTCAAAATCAGCATTGGTTAATGCCCCGAATACTGCCAGAGATAAAGGAAGACAGCCTGCCCAGCGCAGAGCAGAGAGGAACCACTAAGGAGACCCCTATGCCTATGATTTATAGATGGGCACCAGCAAGTAGAAACCCAATACTGGTCCATTAGGAAATCGCGAAACTGGGAGAAAGGACTTCTGCTCATCAGTGGAGAAGATGTGAGGAGGAGGTTTCAATCTCCCTGACTACTTCCTAGCATTCTTTTACTTCCTGCACCAACTAGCACACCATGGGGAAGAGGACGGGAGCACACCCAGCGATCTGATCTGCAGTTCCTACTACTGCAGGGAGCTCTGCAGAAACAGCTGCGCTCAGCAGCCTCAAAGAAAAGGTCCCTCGGTACATTCCCAGCTTTCCCTTCTTCTGTTCCACCCTATTCACTTGGCGAGGCGGCGCGACATTACGGATAGTACCTAGTGGAGCCGCAAGTCAACCCTCCTGTGTGAGGTGCAGAGTGAGTGCCACGGCCAGTCCCCGGGCAGGCACGGGCCTGCAGCCTTGCCGAGAGCAGCCCCACGACACCACCGCGCAGCATTCTGGGTAGGAGCGGCCTGGACTGGGTTCTTCGCGGCCTGACACACACACGTTCCCTGATGTTCCGGGCACCTTCCAATCCTGTCCACGACTGCTCCGTCTCCCCATCTCATTTCCCTGTCCTGCATGTTTTGCTTTTTGTTATTTTTGAGATGAACCTGTAAACGTGAGAACTCAGAGATCTGAGGTACTTCACATAAACACACTCAAGTATCAGTCTTTCATTTTTTGAAAACAAGAACACAGGAAAACAAGCCCCTCCCCCTCTCCCCTCAGAACTGTGAGCATCTTCCCACGAGGCTCACAGTGGCTACCTCTGCACCACGTCGCTGATCTCCTGCACACATGACAATAAGTTATTAAGGACAGGGTTGGCCCCGGGCACCCCGGCAGCAGCCGAAGACACCTGCAGCTCCTGCAGGCTGAGTTCCAGTTTGCTCACAGCCTCTCGGAAGGCAAATTTGTTACGCGTCTGAGGGATGCAGTCCACATAGCCTGAGCAGTAGTCAAGGAGCTGGTGGCCAGTGTCCACCAGCTGGCTGTTGGGCACAGGTTCTGTGATGGCACTGGACAGTAGGTCAGCACATTCCAGCAGGGCCTCTTTGCTGATTTTGTCTGCTGAGATCTTCTCTGCCGCCTGTTTGGCTTTTCTCAGGGCCACTTTAGTACCTGCTGTGCCATTAGCCATTCTGGCCGGCGAGATGGAAGATGTGGGCAGAGGCACTTGAGGCGGAGGCATCACTGGCCTCCCGGCTTTCCCACCTCCAGGCACTGCCCCCGGAGCGGCCTTCTTCCCGCCTTCCTGTGTTTCTGGTGCTGGCTGTCCTGCAGTCGGGGCGGTCGGCTCTTCCGCGGGGTCTGAGCACAAGGACGGATGCTGCAGTAGTCTCATCACTGGGGGCGGGGGTGGGGCACACTTTGGTTTTACCCGTCGGGGTCGGTCCTTGTCTCCAGAGGATGTGACCTGATGCTCAGATAAGAGTTTGAATTTATTGCCCTGAGAGTCTGTGCCAATGAGCTGCACATCAGCGGGAGTGTGCTTCAGAGTGGGTGAGATAAGGACTGGCACTTTGTGGTTGTGAGTGGTTGGGAGGGCTGCTGCAGCCTTGGCCGGAGAAGACCAGCCCGTCTGATCGCCGTCCTCTGGGACTCCAGCCATGCCGAGTCGCGCCCCACCATTCCTCTCCTTGCTCTTTGGGGCAGCTGCCACTCCAGCCACCCCGGCCCCTGGAGAGTCCTTCTCTGTAATGGCTGGATCCCCAGAGGGGGTTCTGAGAGGAAGAGCCGCGGCTCCTCTGGGCAAAAGTTTGGCTTTTGGTCTCTCCCTGCTTAGAGCAGCACCTTCCTCTGATTTTTTTGGAAGCATGTCATTGGCCCTGTCCACATTCTCTTCTGGCTGAGAAGAGGTGGACACTGTCCTTTCCAGCTGGAGTTTGGACCTCTGGCAGTTCCTGGGAAGGGTCATTGCCATCCTATCCTGCTCTGGAAGCCCTGAGGACATGGAAGATGTAGAGTTTGACCTTGGAAAAGGCTTGGAAGTGTCATCAATGGCTGTGGGTTTCCCCGCTCGTAAGCCCAGTGTCTTTTTGATTAAGCGTGGTGTAAAGAAGCCTGTGATGCCAGACCACCCGCCCCCAGCGGTGCCACTGCCCCCGCCCCCACCGCCATCGTCATTACAGAGGTTCCTCTGCGCAAAGCTCCCCCCATAGCACTTGGGTGGCACCAGATTCGCCTCTTGCTGGGCAGGAGTGAAAGAGAACCCATCAGCATGCTGCAGAGAAGCAACAGATGAGAAGTTACCCGTGAGCTCATATTTCTTGTGGGGTTGATTCTCCATTTCTCGGAAGGAGCTGCTGCGTTTGGGGGGTGTGGGAGCATTTCTCTTTTTCATGAAGGAGCTGAAGAAGCCTCCCTTCCTGTCTCTGGTGAAGCATGTCTCTTTGGCATCTTCCAAGAGGCTGCTGGGTGACTTGTCTCTTTGTTTTCGAGGCAGTGCTGGGGACCCAGTGGGGGCCTGTGCACCTCTAAGGAACCCTGATGAGAAATAGCCAGTCAGTAATGTGAAAGGCAAACAGTGACTCCATTACACTTGAGTAACTAAGGTTACATTGTAAGAGTTTTTTCAGGATCTCTTAAATGTCAGGCATTAGCAGGACTCAGAGAAAACTAATAAATACAGTATCACCGATAATACTATTTCACACCGATGAGTGTCCCAAATACCACACGGGCTATAAATGCAAAGGAACAACCCGCTGATTTTCACCTCGGCATCTGTCTTTTCTCTAAAAATGACAACACGCCCTGGCCTCATCTATCAGGCAGTTTTTGCCAGAACTGTAAGGATGGTAAGCGGCTGGGATTCGGGAGCTGAGGAAAGAGAGCAGGAGGCCGAGCTGGGCAGCGGACAAAGAGATCGGGACTAACGCCAGCACTGCGGGGCTGAGCCCAAGAGCAGACACTGTTTCAGTGCCGGCCGCTCTCTCCTCAGGGAAGACGGGCAGCACAGTGGAGATAAAGCATCATCCCCAAGGTTCTGGAAATGAAGACAGTTTCCTTCTACCCGCCTAGTGACCAGTACCTGGTGCTGAACTAGAAGCAGAATTTTCTGTGGCGTCCTGTACCCCTTCGATGTTCTCCTTGTTCTCCACCTGTTTCTTCAGCGTCCGCATCTTGGAAGGAAGTATAGGCAGTCGGGGCAGGTATGGAACAACAGATGAGGAGGAGGCGGCTCTCCCAAGCTCCTCAGCTACCTCTGTGAGGACAAGGGGACTGATTAAAAACCGTTTCATGACACAGAAAAGGTTTTCTTCTCAGAAAAGATACACAACGGAGAAAAAACCTGGAGAAAAGAGCACTCAAATATGTAATGGAATCACAAGAGTATGGACTCTTCTAGGCCGGGCTTCTGTGGTCCAACACTGCGCACAGCCTCATCCACGATGTGGCCTGTGGCGGGGGCTTTCTGTCACGGTGCATCGTTCAAATGTGTGACTCAAACAAAATGAATCTATTTCCTTTTGATGGGTATTTAGGCTGCTTCCAGTTTAGGGCTACTGTAACTAGGCCACTAGGAACACCCGGCTACGTGTCTTTTGCTTCAGAATCATACGTGTATGTCTGCTGGGTACATCCCTAGGACCAGGACTGGTGGGTTAGAGGGCGCACACACTCAGCTTTGCTGGATCCTGCCAAACTGTCTCCCACGACGGCTGTACCAATCTATACTCCCACCCGCATTGTATAAAAGTTCTGGTTACTCTGCATGCTTGCCAGAGTTTGGTATTATCCGTTTTTTTGGGCTTGATTTTAATTTTAGCCATTCTGGTATTGGTATATGGTGGCATCTCACTGTTCTATTTTGGACTTCTCTGATGAGGAGTAATGTTAAGTAAGCACGGTTTCATGGGCTTTCAAATCATTTGGCTAGCCTTGTTTACTGAGTGCTTGCCCAGAGGCTGAACAAAGGCAACAGATTTCTGGAGTTATTTTCATTTTTAGGTTGCACCTTACCCAAAGAAGGAGGGTAGATACATTTCATTTCATGCAAATGAAGCAAATGAGGCTCGTGAAGAAGTGTTCACCCTTTTGAACATGGCTATGTGTTTTGTGGCTCCTACTAGGGTAAAGACATACTTTGGTATTCATTCCGGAACAAAAATGAACCAAGTGAGAGCAATTAAATTTTTGGGTAACTATTTCAAAAATCGGCTCCCTCACAAGAATGGGTACATGGCACATACCCAAGCCATGCCAGCGAGACTCTTTTCCTACACTGCTATATACAGCAGCTGGCAGAGAGACATAAACTATGAGGATATGACCTCAAGGATGCTAGCAACTGTGTCCCATGCCTCTTGGAAGATTCGGAGGATGACATCAATGCAAAGACAAAAGTAAAGTGATATTGGGTGCGAGAGGCTGTGGAAGGAGGAAGTCCCAAAGCTACTTGAGTCTGTGGATTCTACGACTTTGAACCAAACCAAGGTTTCATTATGAGCAAATAAATCCTCCTTTTATTGCTTTAGGAAGCTTGAGTTAGGTTTTTTCCACTCACAACCAACCAGTAAGTACATCCTTTTAAGGTAGGAACTGTGTCTTATCTCTGTGTCTTCAGTAATGTGCTTCCCACAGATTAAATGCTTAATAAAATGTGGGTTAAATAATCATAAATTTCTTGTTTAGCAATTCTGAATTGCAGTTACCTTTGAAAACGGTTTGAAAATGGTTGATTTTTTAAAAGGATAGAACATTTTCTTTTTTTTTTTTTTAAGATTTTATTTATTTATTTGATAGAGAGAGATCACAAGTAGGCAGAGAGGCAGGCAGAGAGAGAGGAAGGGAAGCAAGCTTCCTGCTGAGCAGAGAGCCCAGTGTGGGACTCGATCCCAGGACCCTGAGATCATGACCTGAGCCGAAGGCAGCAGCTTAACCCACTGAGCCACCCAGGAGCCCCAGGATAGAACATTTTCAAGAGAAACAGAAATACTTAACTAAGGAGTCAACAGAAGTTAAAAGTTGACACAGAAGCATCAAAGAAATGGAGCCTGTGATTTCTACCACTCGAACGCCACACGAAGTAAAGCACAAAGAGTAAAGAAGAGGGTCGTGAGGGGCACTGCTCAATCTGGCCCAAAGGCTGATGTGCACAAGTTTCAGCTAGCAAAGAACTAGGAAGAAAATACTTTTCATTCAACTTCAGGGTTGTACTTTTCCCTTTCTTCTTATCTGAAATGATAAATAGCTAATGGAAGACAACAAAATTCAACTTGCCTGATTTCCTCTTCTTATATTTTAAAACCTGAACTTAAGTCATAAGCTCTTATGCTCAATTAGGAAGGAAAGAAGAAATTGGAAAAATATGTGCAAAATTCTGGAGCTATACCAGAGAATCCAATCAGCACACATAACTAAGAATTCTGTTTTTAGCTCTCTAGGAATAGGCTGTCTCTGTAACAAGTATACTGTCTGACTTCAGCACATAATTGTTAGCGGCACTGTGATACTGACGTTGGAAGCTGCCTGTGTGTGTCCATACAGTCGTTTTTCGGATATGAAAAAAGGGGTTCTCACTGTTCATAGCTTAACATGCTGATTTTGAAACTATTTTCCATGTCAATATATCTAAGAATATCATTTTAAATATTCAATTATATGAATGTACCAATTAGCCCACTGGATTTTTAAATTGTTCATTTTTCAATATTAAAAACTACATGCTGATGCAACATCCTTGTAGCTAAGTCTTTATTCATACCCTTAATTATTTCCTTAAGATCTATTTCCAGAAATGAAATTTCTGGATATTGCTTTTATGATTTGATTCTGTCTTTGTAGGTATGGTTCAGGGAGACGGAATATTCCTCCTACTCATTTTTAATTCCCTTCCATATATGGTTAAGTGTTGGTGGTTTAAGAACTACCCAACTTCTTCTCTATGACGAGATTGCATTTCTAATTAAAATACAATTTCAATGTTAGAAATGAGCTTGGGACATAGAGACACATTTAAAAATAGCAAAACAGAGGGCAAAATAAGAATAACGAAGGCCAAGAATTAATTCAGTCCTCTAAAATGGAGTCCCAAACTAGAGAAGTCTATCATTTTTGCAATGTTATTATGACCCCTACCACCACCCAGACCTGGCCACCACCAATAACCTGCCAGAGTCCTACCTTCGGAAATGCTGGAGTCATGGAACATGGTTTCAAAAGCCTGATGTGTTTCAGCAAAAGATGGCCGGTCAGCAGGGCTCCACTTCCAGCCTGTGGAACAAAAGAAGGACGTGCTGAAAGCTCCTTGCAGAAATTAAACACCCGGGGGGACACTTGCAAGGGAGGCTACTGAGGCGGAGGTACAGCAGGTTCACAGTGAGCAAGGCAGCTGCTTCTCAGTTCCAGACTCAGGTGTAATAAACCCACTTCCCAGAGCTGGTCCTTCTAAGTAGCCCCAGCTTCTGTTCTTTCTACTACAGGGATAAAGAGGGATAGAGAGATGGTTTATGAAATGGAAAGTTGTTTTCTACTGGGAAAATGAAGGAAGTGATGAAACCTGTCTTCAAACTCATTCTAACCTTACAATCAGCTGTCCAAGTTCAGAAATATAACAGGATATCAGAAAGGAGGAACTTAAGAGTTCACTTTGACAAAAACAGGACAGTAAGGAAAATAACAAGACATATGCTTAAACACAATGCAATTTAATTCCCTACTCACCTTCCAACTTTCTCATCTGTAAGAAGTCAGATGCTTGTGTTTATTCATGAGAGGCTACTTTGAAGTATTCTCTAGTCTTTAGCAATAATTTTTTTTATCTGCTTGAAAGCAGACTTCCCCTACCCAAACTCTAAACCCAATTTCTTATTATCTTTATTATACAAGTGGGTTGGGGAAATTTAGTCAATATATGGGCCATGGACGACTGTGTCAGGATTCCAATTAAACTTGATGGTTTATCATATATGCCAACTGGCTGATCAATGACCAACCTTTTCTTTTTTTTTTTTTTTTTTTAAGATTTTATTTATTTATTTGAAAGAGAAAGCATGAGTGAAAGTGGTGGGGAAGGGCAGAGGCAGAGGGAGAAGCACAGAGGCTTGATCCCAGGACCCTGACATCATGACCTGAGCTAAAGGCAGAAGCTTAATTGACTAAGCCACTCAGTGCCCGACCAATCCTTTATATGTCAGGAGGTTGGAGTCAATCTAACACTGAGAGGAAAACGGTTTCTCTATTTCTTTAATCATTCTGAATCACTGACTTAAGTCTTCAAAATTAAAATACAAAAGAAAACACTCACATGCTCTCATAAGTTCATAAACCTTAGGGGGGCATCCTTCAGGTTGTTCCATTCGATATCCTTTCTCCAGTAGATCATACACCTGAGATAGGTCAATGCCTGGATACGGTGACATTCCATATGTAGCAATTTCCCACAACAGTACCCCAAAAGCTGCAAAAGGGATGTAAAAAAAAGCTGAATGTTTTATTTTTATTTATCTGATTTATCTATTTTATACTATTAGGTGACTTCTCTTCCAATTTTGGATTAACATCCACACTGTTACAACATTAGTAAACTATTCTAATTCTTATAGCGTTCTAATTTTTACAGCTGAACTTGTCCTAAGATATCAGTCGCAAAATGATTCAGCTATACCTCAAGACCGTTTTGTATAAATTTCCCAATTTTTTTTTTAAGATTTTTTATTTGAGAGAAAGAGCACGCATGAGCACACAGTACAGGAGCAGGGAGGGAGGGACAAGAGAAGGAGAGAGAATCCCAAGCAGACTCCCCACTGAGTGCGAGCAGGGCTTGATCCCACATCACTGACACACCAAAATCACAAACCAAGCCAAAACCAAGAGTCTGACGCTCAATCAACTGAGTTACCCAGGTGCCCCATTAATTTCCCAATTTTAGATTTAACCGTAATGAGGGAGAGTGAATTATGACCATAAAAAGTCTGGGACAGAACCGAACTACTCTTAGAACAAGCGATGATCTATTTAATGAGTTCCAGTTTTTAGATCAGCTAATACTGAAGGAGTAAAATAGAAAATGGACTCTTTTAAAGTCAGAGGGGAAAAAAATCACCCTGGCAAAGAAAATTTGCTTGATTTTGTCACACATTATTTCTGAGTTTGAGATTTCTGTGAAAAGTGACTCGGCATCTTACAACTATTTCTGTTGGCCTATAACCCAAATTTCTAGACTTGTTCAGTCTAAGAGCCTCTGCTAAATCAGACTGCTTTCCAGCATAACAGAAACAACATGAGTTAGTTACAAGGACAAACTCTAGGTGCAATTCCATCATGCCTTCCTTGAAGAGAAGAGGCTATTCTGTGTCACAGTACTTCGAAAATGAGCAATAAATTTAATATGGAAAACAGGGTCTTTACAGAGAGAAGATCAGTAAAATTCCAATGCAACCCAAGATCTAGACTGTGAGCTCTTTGAAAGTGAGGACTCCCCCCTCACTTTCCTTTTTACACTTCTATTATCTGGGAGATAATAGGTATTTAATAAATCCTTGCTGAATGAAAGATGGGGGCCAAGGCAGAGTTTACTGATTACATAAATGAGAAGCTCTAAAGAATTAAGAACATTAAAAACCTAAAATGACAGACACAGAAGAAGTCCCTTCCAACCTTACCCCAGACATCAGATTTAATTGAGAAGGTATTGTAGGCAAGACTCTCTGGTGCTGTCCATTTAATAGGAAATTTGGCTCCAGCATGCGCAGTATAGGTGTCTCCCGTCATCAATCTACTTAAGCCAAAGTCGGCCACTTTCACCACATGGTTTTCTCCTACGAGGCAGTTACGGGCTGCGAGATCTCTGTGGAAAAGAGAACCCTAATGTGATTCCATTCAGATGCTGAGAAAAACGGCCATGAACAGTCTCTTCTTGATCCTTTGTGCTGTAAGCAGAGTTGGTTAAGTCCATGCTGACAGATACAGTAGCACCTGATGATAACTGCTAACACAGGAGAAAGCTACTAATTATTTATCACTTGTAGAGTCATCACCAAGAGGCAGCAGTCATCTGATACTAGAATAAAGCCCACTTCAGAACATGGGTTCCTATTTACCAGTACGCTGGGAAAGGTTTCAGAGGTGAGCAAAAGATGCTTTTCTACAAGGCTTTACTTTAAGTTCTTTACTAAGACAGAAAGCTATTTTTAAAATTAAGCCATTAGGTAGAGCAAAAGGCTCTTGGAAATGGTCCTGGGCAAAATAAAGAGCATTCTGTTTTAAGAATTAGCAAAGGCCCATTAGTACTTTAACCAAAATACTGTAGGTTTATAAACTGGAAATGACATTATAGTGGGTGGGTCCTATAAAAGAGAAAACTGTTTTTCTGGATGATCTGGAAATTTCCAGTAGGGTTCTCACATTCTTTTATTTGCACATCAAGCAAGGTAGCTTCATGGTTAGTCACGGGCCATAATCAGGCTTTACACACCTATGGATGAAATTCTTCTTCTCTAGATACTCCATTGCAGAGGAGATCTGAGTGGCCATGTACAGCAGGACCACCGCAGTCACCTCTTCTCGGCTGCATTCTCGGAGATAATCGAGCAAGTTGCCATACGGCATGTACTCAGTCACGATGTAAAATGGTGGCTCCAAAGTACACACACCTGATAGTTGAAGAACAGAGCTTGTTTTATTAGAATATTTCCAAAAATTCCCAACCACTTCGACAAGATTAACAGACACATTTTAAAGTCTAGCTCAGCAGTAATCTTTTACCTTCTCGCCACCATACTCTCCTAAAATAACACAGCAAAGTTCAGATAAAAGTGGTTAATAAGGGAGTCCTGGCTTTCACTACATCATTCTTTGGAAATCCACATGCATCTGAGTATCTGCCTGCTTGGGGAAAAGCATTAATTTCATAAGGGGTCAAGAAGACCAAAATGTCCTTAGTTCCGTACATGCCCGTGATTCCCATCCTCACCTGCACACTACCAATGTTTATCTTTAAGTAACAGCAATTGTGTGTATGTTGAAGACCAGGTGAGCCCAGCCCGTATCATGCTTTGTAAAACGACTGTTTCCACAGTCAAGGATTTCACTGATACATGGCAGACTTCTTGTAAAGAATCAAAAAGAAACTACTTCCTTTGGGACAGCATGGCTCAAGGTGAACAAAGAAAGGGCCAAGAGTTCAGTCACTAATTTCTTCGTGACCTGAATGGGTGAGGAGCCATTCTGCGACAGGACAGCACCTGCTGCTGAGGAAGGTGAACCAATGTGTGTGGCCACAATTTGGAATCTGCTTCTTTTCAACAGTTCTTTGTTTCATGTCTATTTTGTAAAACTATTTTTGACAATGTTTGGTGTGGTATCATTCTGAGTAATCTTGAACCTTGATTCTGAGGCAATTACCATAAGTTGGCCAGTTTTATATATTATAATCAACCCAGGCCACTTTCGTGGGCAATTTTTATTAAAATTTTTTAAAATTAATTTATGTATGTATGTATGTATGTGATCTCTACATTGAACTTGGGGCTCAAACTCATGGCCCCAAGATTAAGAGTAAGATGCTCTACTGAATGAGCAAGCCAGGGACCCCGTTTCAGGGCAACTTTTAAACAGAGAGACTGCTGATTAAATTAAATGTCATTAAAAATGACAACCACTTATTGAAGTAGATTTGTACCTAGAGCTTCTACCATGGTGATACAAAAGCAGCATTTGGAAATAATGGGGTTGGGAGACAAGAACCTGTGAGGAAACCTATGGTTCAGGCAATCTTCCTCACCTAATAGTTGGACCAGATTAGGATGCTTGATTTCCTTCATCACTGCAGCTTCCTTCAGGAACTCTTCCACCTCCATGGTATCTTCCTGGAAAGGGGGAAAAATTAAAAAAAAAAAAAAAAAAAAAACACCAAAAAAACAAAACAGAACAGGGAACAAACCCCTATTTTAATCATTTGAGTCAATTTATAATCCCAAAACTACAGTTTTAAAAGGAGGTATCTTTTGAATATTCTAGCAGATTACTTACAGAAATTTTATCAGAACCTAGTAACAGGCTCCAGAAACATCCAATTAAGAAAGAAGAGTGTCTCTAAATTTATCCAATATTTGAAACTGGAGTGAAAATTAGCAGGGCAAGCATAATTCAGCCATCCTATCCCATCACAACTGAGGCCTGGGAGACCTGGATGGATACTCAGTTCTCTGACAGTTTACTTCCCTAGGTAACTCAGCCTTCCAAAGAGGAGACAGAAGAGTTAGCTGTTTACGCATTTGTCTTCCTGACAAATTCCTTAAGGAGCAATACATGTGTGCAAAGCCATGTATACTGTCTCACACTCAAAATATGCTTAATAAATATTTGCTGACTGAAACTGATCACATTCAGGAAGCCAAAGAGCAGCCCTTACCCCGTGATTCGCCAGAGCTACAAGGCATATGGGAGATCTTCAGAGAATGGAATGAGTGACAACTTTGTAACTGGATACTAGGACGCTTAAAGAAGGCAGTGGCATCAGAAAGAAGATTCCTGTGACTATTAGGAGAAGAAGTGATCTCATCTCAGAGAGATGGGGGAGCATGAGGCAGAGAGCTCAAGGAGACAAGAGAGAACCCACAATTCTTGAGCACTGCATGAACAATGTCGTCCAGCAGGGGTCATTCTCAGGAAGCAAAACAGCTTGTTTGGCTTTTATAACTTCTTAATCCTCTCCTAACCTTCCACTAAGACCTACATCAACACCCTCCAGAGACCAACCTTCCCCACATGTGGGTTTCACTATGTCGCAGTGAACAATCTGTCCCCGCACTGTCAGCAAGGGCACTGAGGTTACTCATCAATTTGCTGATGTGCTTGGCACCAGTGGGTGGAAAGTGTTCCAAAGTTAAAGAGGGGCGCACTCATATTTCCAAGTGATTCAGCACAAAAGGAAAAAAAAAGGCCTGGAAACTGTAATTCTCAGCAACCCACCTTCAATGTCTTCACAGCAACCGTAAGGCTGTATTTCTTCCAGACGCCGACATAAACTTCTCCGTACTGACCACCCCCAAGCTTGTGCTTCATGGTAATATCCGTTCGTTCCATTTCCCATTTGTCATGGATGGGGGACACACCATAGACTGTGGGCTTATTACACTTGGGCGCCGGGTAATGTAACGTTGTCACCAGCCCATCAGCCACCGTGGAGTGATGGTGCACGAGCTCTGCCAGGGTGCTAAAGCGGCTCTCCGCAGTGACGTACACCTGGTGAGAAAGGCAGGAGAAAAGCTAGCAACTTGAAAAGAGGTCTGAAAACCTTTTTCAAAGCCCATTATTTCACTGGTCTGAAGATATGAAGATAGGAGGCTCTTTTACGGAGGTAAGTGAAAGAATTAATTAAGCAATGAGGAGAAAGGAAAACACAACTTCAGTTGAATCCTCTTTACACCACTCTTCCCAGGCAGAGTGGGGGGAATGGGATTTCCAAGCTATCTTTCTGGATCATCAAGATCACTGGTCTTCGAGGGGTGCCTGGGTGGCTCAGCGGGTTAAAGCCTCTGCCTTCGGCTCAGGTCATAATCCCAGGGTCCTGGGATGGAGCCCTACATCGGGCTCTCTGCTCAGCAGGGAGCCTGCTGTCTCCGTTCTCTCTCTGCCCACTTGTAATCTCTGTCTGTCAAATAAATAAATAAAATCTTTTAAAAAAAAATCACTGGTCTTCGAATATGTTGAAGCAACAAGACTGTGAAACCCAAATTCATAAGATAAAGGCAGAAATTCTGATTTAAGTAGGAAAGGGGAGACCTGGTCTCTGAAAGGTCATGAAATCTTACACAGAATCTTATACAGAACAAAACTTAAGAACCACTGGCTTTTTTTTTTTTTTTTTTTTGGTACGAAGAGAGTATTTAAGGATCTTACAATTTTTACTTAATTAGGATGTGCTATTGAGTGGCTAGGCCATTAAAAAAAGAGCCACAATTTTATTTCAGGGTTGTCAGCAAAACAGTAGTTATTTTGTGGCAAGTAATTAAAGTATAAAAGATGAGCAGTCTTTGAACCCTATGTCCTGTGGGAGCTAACCTGTTTATTGTTTTCCGAAAAAGAGACTTGTGTTGTATACAGATACATATTACATACAGAATTGATTATTTTTATAAGATGAACTCACCCACATAAACCTCTCCCACACCAAGAATTATAACACTACCAGCACCCTCCCAGCTAAGCTATTCACTCCTTCAAAGGTAACCACTCTCCTGACTTCTCACAACTTACAATAGCTTTGCCTGCTTCTGAACTTACACAAATGGAATCATACTACATGCACTGTTGTGCCGGCTTTCTTCCATTCCACTTTTCTTTATTGTGAAAGAATTCACATACCATAATGCCCACCATTTTCAAGTATACAATTCAGTGGCTTTCCCAAAGTTGTCCAACCATCACCACTATGTAACTCCAGAACACTTACATCAGCCTTCATCATGAAGAAATCCCATATCCTCAGCAGCCCTCGCCACTCCCCTCACACCCATCCCAACAATGACTAACCCCTTTCACTCAACTTTACATAGGTGTGAGACTCACCTATGACATGGGTCAACTAACTTTTCTGCAGAGAGCCAGAGAGTAAATATTTCAGGCTTATGGCCCTGGTGCCTCTGTCTAACTACTCAAAGCTGCTATAAGAATGAGAAGGCAGCCATAGACAATACATAAACAAGCGGACGTGGCTGTGTTCTGATATAAATTTATTTACAAAAGCAGGAAACTAGGCGGACCACAGATTTTCCTCAGAATGTACGTACACAGCAGTACCACACTCATTTTTTGTTGCTGTATGAGATTCTATTTTATGAATATACCACAATTTATTAATTCATTCTGTTGTTAGACAATTAAGTGTTTCTAGTTTGGGGCTATTACAAATAATGCGACTACAAACATCCTGGACATGTCTTCTGTACACACATGCACTCATTTCTGTTGGGTATGTAACCAGAAGTAGAGCTGCTAGGTCTCTCCTACATTATCACTTAATCTGATTCAATGTGGTTTCATCAGGACACAGTGTGTCTGTAGGATGATGCAAAAGAGAAAAAGAATAATTACTTCCTACTTTGTACCAGCTATTATGTTTTAAGGAAATTATTTCATTTAATCCTCATGACAATCCAATAAAGTGGGATGAGAAATTGAGGCTTATAGTAAGGTCACAAAGTTAACAAAGAGAAACGGTGGAGTTACCCGGCAAACCAGGTCTGCTTGCTCTTGGCAAAGTCCGTGTGCTTCCCCCTACTATGCAGATCACATAGAAGGAAAGAACAAATGATTCAATGTAATTTACTGTTCAACAGAATGGACATAAATCTGTGCTTCACAGTTCAGAAAGTAAAACAGCTCCATTCTTACACTACCATTCTACAACGGCTGGTCTAACAGGTACATTGCTAAATGTCCAACTAATCTATCTATACTACCCATCAATCCGAGTCTCAGAAGCCCAAATTCTTACTCTGCAAACTTTCTGGTAGAGATTATTATAAGTTTCAAAGATCCAAGGCTTAATTTGCCAATTCTGGGGCACCTGGGTGGCTCAGGGGGTTAAAGCCTCTGCCTTCGGCTCAGGTCATGATCTCAGGGTCCTGGGATCAAACCCCGCATCAGGCTCTCTGCTCAGCAGGGAGCCTGCTTCCCCTCTCTCTCTCTCTCTGCCTGCCTCTGCCTACTTGTGATCGCTGTCAAATAAATAAAATCTTTAAAAAAAATAAAAAGGGTTAATTTGTCAATTCTGTACAACGTACTAGATGCACGTGTGTGTGTGTGTGTGTGTGTGTATGTATCTATCTGTATATGATGATTAGAACCACTAACTTATATAGCAGTTCCCTTCACTCACCTTCAATTCTATCTCATCATTAAACCATTAATGTAATACTGTTTTTAATTCCATTACCATATTCTTTTGAAAAAAGTAAGCTTTTACATGCCAAATAACCCAAATTCACATCAGTGATTATTTCGTTTCATGTCTGACATAAAAACTATATTCTTTAGTCATTCTAAGTATTTTTTCGAAAAAACAACCAGTCCACACCTATAGGCAGTGCTGGCCCGTCTTACCTTGCCATCTGTGGTCGTATTGATCCTGTAGTGATATACACGCCCCTCGTACCTGAGCGAGATCGACAGCTGCCCAGGGCTGCTCTCACTTTCTCGCACCAGGAAACTGCCATTGATTAGACTGCTGAGTAGATACTCCGCTGCACTGCGTGACACGGGTCCATGGTACCAGGAATGTTTTTCCAAGCTGTTCACTGGGGTGATGTAGTTGCTTGGCACCCAACCTTGTCCATTCTTGGAGCGAACTTCACTCCACTCACCATTCTGGTTATAACCAAGGACTCGAAGCTTTTCACCTAGCCATGAAGTCATCAGAGAAGAAAAGAGAAGGTGTTAGGACTTTATCTCAAGCAGGAGCAGTCTACTGTCAAACTCAGTGAAAAATCAATCAGGAATTCCTATGCCATCGTTTTTTTAAAAAATTAATGAAAACAAACTTGGCTGTTCATCATATCCTGATTGACCTCTTTAGCGTGTAGCTTAAACAGAAGCAGCATAGTTAGAAATAACCTGCTCACATTTACTAATGGCTTTTACACCAACTAAAAAAACGTCTTCATGCAAACCCATGTGTGGTATAGTACAGTGGCATACAACGATAGAAAGGTTATGGACCCATAAATACAGAGAAGACTGATGGTTGCCAGAGGGGAGAGGGAGGGGCAATGGGCAAAATGGGCTAAGAGGAGTAGGAGATACAGGCTTAAAGCCCTTTAGAGAATGAATAAATCACCAGGATAAAAGGTACAGCAGCATAGAGAATATAGCTGATGGTATTATAACAGCACTGTGTAATGATAGATGGTAGCTACACTTGTGGTGAGCACAGCATAACGTTTAGAATAAATTACTATGTTGTATACCTGAAAGTAATGTAATATTGTGTGTCAACTGTACTTCAGTTAAAAAAAAAAAAAAGAAAGAAAGAAATGGAAAATGGCACAGCCTCACCCCTCAAAAATAATTCGTTTTTTTTTCTCATATAACAGTCTGTCAAGGAATATATCTTATATATGGTTCAATGTTAGTAACAATCAAGGCTTTGGTATGAGAATCATGAAATACAAAGTTACTTCTAAATTTCAGTTGGCACCGAGGCAAAAAACCATTTATGTAAAAAAACAAAAAAATAAATAAGAAAACAAGACAAAACAGAAGCAGACCAAAGGGCTTTGAGCAATGCTTTCAGAACAAAAACTGCTGGGGGGTGCTGGGCAGGTAGAACTCCCAAAGCACATTCCAGGACTCAAGTTTTAACAGTTATAGTTTCCCAACTTCCCTCCCATTTCCCAAGAATATGAGTCAGTCCTATTCATTCCTCTAAAATTAGTGTGTGGGAAGGGAAGCTGACACTGAAGCTGGAACCTAAGACAAGTTACTCAGAATGCCTTTGCTTTGCTATCGACGTCAATACCCTTGATTTCTGTTAAAGTTGTGAACTTTAAACTCACTAATATACATTTTGCCCCTAAACGTGCAACTCAGACAAAACAGGAAAGGTGATAGGTATCATTAGTAATAACTAATAACTTAAACCTTTTTTGCAGGGGTGGTGGGGAGACTGTGGAAAAGGCCTTGGGCCCCTATCTCTGAGAGATGCACACCTTCCTACAGAGTTCACACCTACTTCTCAGTGTCGGCAGAAGAAAACCAAACCAATTAAAATCATATGGCCCACTAGCTGTCAGACATAGGCCACCGAGGAAAAGCTCAAAATCATTATTCTGGCAGTCATCAAATTTTCCCAGCAACCCACAGAAATGTTTTCCATAGGATAACTTTATCACTCCCTCACCATTGACACCTGGATGTGAGACATTTAATGACAAAAACCTAGGAGTATGTACTGATACAATATACATATGTATAGAGGGACAGATAGGACTGTGTGTCCTGTGGCTGTGGAAATGCACCAGTACGCAGCAAAATACTCCCCAGCCGTATCTGCAGGAAAACAAAAAACTCAATGCTACTAGAAAAGCTAAATAAAACTCGTTCCGATGTAGCTTTCCTGTTGTACCACAAAAACCAGAAAACGTAAACATCAAGTGTATCGTTGTTTCTGGTAACAGCAAGTCATCATAAGTAGGATACAGTAAAAAATCCTAGGTTTTTGTTTTCCTCTCTTTTGGAAGTTAGGAGAATTTCCTACTCTGGAAGTTGTGAGTACCATGGAAATTGATGAGTCTGACTAATGGGGATGTACACATCGGTTCTACTGACAGGAATGTTGGGAGAACTCTTATTTTTTAATTCAAGCAAAAAACAATCTTCAAAGAAGGAAGTAAAGTAAGAATCGTTATTTTTCAAATACATTTGCTTGTCCTTTAAAATAGTAAGATAGCTTTAGCATGACATCACTTTCTATCAGTATGAACCTGATAGAAAAATCCGACATTTCAGGTTTTTTTGTTTTTTTTTTTTAAGATTTTATTTATTTGACAGAGAGAGAGATCACAAGTAGGCAGAGAGGCAGGCAAAGAGAGAGGGAAGGGAAGCAGGCTCCCTGCTGAGCAGAGAGCCCAACGTAGGGCTCGATCCCAGGACCCCAGGATCATGACCTGAGCTGAAGGCAGAGGCTTAACCGACTGAGCCACCCAGGCGCCCCCATTTCAGGGGTTTTAAGACAAATCACTGTTCGCCATGAGAGAACAAGAATCCCAGCCCTTGAGCTGCACCAGCAGCTGCCATAACTGGTAACTGAGGCAGCAACAGACAGTCTTGACTGATATTTCCTTGGTGACAGAGCTATCTCGGAAAACAGTGACATGAAAAGTGTATCTAGGAAAGAATGTTCTGAGTCACTGCTTCACAAACTTCTCCCCTGAAGTATCAATAAAGGTAAAAGAGTGTGTTGTAGCCCAAAGAGACTACTGCACAGTATAAAATTCTTTGAAATCCTTTGTTTTATCCTAAAACTTTGTGTAAAATTTTCCCCTGATACATAAACCTCACACACATACAAATACTATCACCATCCCGTCCCCAAAAACTACCCAAAGCCTTCAAGTAACTTGCAACTAGGAGATCACACATGTTTACTTTTTCTTCGCCTCTGACACCTCCTGGCACAAGTATGTATGTATGTGTCTCCCACCCACTCTGGAACACATCTATACCCCAGTTTGAGTTACAGGTTTCTGCTCTGGATTTAGAAATAGATGCACCTAAAAATTCTATAAAAGGTAACAATCCCTGAATGGAGGCCTATCTTAATCTGGTATATTCACTCCCATTTATTACCTCATTCTGAACCTTATAAATAAAAGGCATATGTCTGACAAATTATCACCTAAAGCACAATTTCATTTAAGTTAAAAGTTATCCTGAGGGGTGCCTGGGTGGCTCAGTCCTTAAGTGTCTGCCTTCAGTTCAGGTCATGATCCCAGAGTCCTGGAATCAAGTTCCATATTGGGCTTCTTGCTCAGCAGGGAACCTGCTTCTCCCTCTGCCTGCCACTCCCCCTGCTTGTGCTCTCCTCTCTCTCTGCCAAATAAATAAATAAAATCTTTAATTAAAAAAAATTATCCTTGGGACGCCTGGGTGGCTCAGCTGGCTAAGCATCTGCCTTTGTTCGGCTCGGGTCATGATCCCAAAGTCTTGGGATCAAGTCCCGCATTGGCGGGGCGGGGTGGGTGTCCTTGCTCAGCAGGGAGCCTGCTTCTCCCTCTGCCTATCGCTCCTCCTGCTTGTGATCTCTCTCTCTCTGACAAATAAATAAATAAAATCTTTAAAAAAAATTATCCTGAAATATGTTTTTTCCAGTAGGAGGCTTTCATAGGTTCAAAAGAACAAGCTTAGGAAGATTAGCATTCCAATCCAAGGACACAATGAGAATGGTCCATGCCTCTTTCTTTCTTTCATTCTTTTTTTTTTTTTTCTTAAGTAATTTCTACACCCAATGAGGAGTTCAAACTCATGACCCCAAGATCAAGAGTCACACACTCTACCAACTGAGCCAGCCAGATGCTCTTTCTCATAAAAGTTCCACATTCTCTGTTGTTGTTCAGAAACACTAATAATAAATGATTTTACTTGGTCATATTCTTAATCCTCCCTTTTATAAGAATTTTCTACCAAAATAAACTACTGCTCTCTTGAGAGTATTACTACAACAGAAACCTTTCCTATGACCCCTTTCAGTAAGGCACTTAAACAGAGATGAGAGATGGTCTCCACCAGTGCTACTCGAAGCAGGTCCACAATGTGACATGACACTCACACTGGCATATGGAATCACTAGACTACTTTCTTCTTGTTGAAAGTCCTGCTCCCCCCACCAAAAAAGAAAATGTCAGCTAAACAAAATAATAAGTAGTATACCTAGTGATGCAGTTGGTTTACATACTGGGAACAAGTTCTAAATCCTAACAATGAGGACTGGTACTGTTCTCAGACAGGCAGTCAGCCCAGGGACAGCACTCCCAGTAGCAGCCGGCTCTGGCAGAATGACTCGTGTTAGTCATGGCTCCATTAGAAGGGATGTACAGTGAACCTTACCGCCATATAAGATGAATGCTGGCCTATTACAAAGAGTACTGAATCCTGAGAGTGAGAAAAGTGTAGGTATAGACCGTGTGGTGCTTTTTCTAAAGTTCTTTATCTCCTTTTACCCTTAATAGGCCCAATAAAGGAGACACACTGACATTATCCCTTACATGGGTTTTTTAAAAAACAAAACCAAACCAAGATAATGAACCCTAAAGTATTGGGGCCTATCTGGTCAGAGGCAGAATCTAGAACAGACCCCTTTATTTCTTAACCACTAATGAAAACTGGAAAGTGAAGCTCACCTTTAGTGATGCTGAGTGTGTTATCACCACTGGCTACGAAATCGTAAAGTGCAACAAAGAGATTAGGGTCGCTCTCAGTGGCTCCAAGTAAGTTCTCCTTGGAGCTCCACCGGATGGCTTCATTCAGTGCCTGGGGTTCAACATCACAACCATAGGGGCGGTGCAAGGCTTCTGAAAGACATAAACAGAGAAAGGAATTCACAGTAAGTTCAACGGTTAAATTAAGTTCATTTAATTCAGTACATACATAGTATTTTAGCTGCTGGCATGTGTATACCGATGGCTCCAGGGTGGAAAAGAACTGTGTAATATGGAGCCATGAAGAATGAGCAAATGGCACGGTCTCCTAAACATGAGAGAAGTCTACCTGTTGAAAATGCAACAAGACAGAGAAGCGATCACAAATGAGCATTCAGCTGTGATTCATATGCACTCAAACCAAAATCAGAAATAAATAGAAAAAGCAGGGTTTCTCAAAATGGGGGAAAAAACCCCACACTCAAAAACATGGCAATTCGTTTTATAAAACATATAGGCTACTTTGTGGTGGTGGTGGTTTTAAATTGTTTTAAAAATCCTCCCAAACTACCCTTCTTCACTGACTCTCTCCACACAAAACAAATTGTGGAAAAGGTAACAGAAACTTTAAGAAATATGTACATATTGCATAAATCCGGATCCTCTGTCTACATATGGAAAAATTATAGAAACAGTGCTTACAGAAAAAAACAAAAATACTAAAATTATCTGTTAAACAACGGAAAAATGTTTTGGCTTAATACAAATATTCTTGGCACTACAAAATACCTTTGCATTACTATGCACGGTCTATAATGTAACAGCTTCCAACTGTTGTTTTAAGAAGTTTTTACCTTATTTTCTTTTCCTAGGTGGTACATTTTTAAAAATATTTTGAGAACTTAATTGACGGCTCTAGAAAATATCACCAGCAATAGCCATTTGAGTATCTACAATGTGTAATGGTTGAAGCCTTCTAAGACCTAGTTTTTTTACCTCGAGGCTTTATGGGTTCCTAAATGTAGTCACACTACACAAATAGGCGATCCCTATAAAGATCACCTGTTTTTTGCAGTTCAGGTCATTTACACAAAAAATACACCATGCCTTCAGCAGTGATCTTCTCAATCACAGGAACTGTTCATAGCGGCTCTCTGCCACTCTCCAACTACCTACTGTGATGTAACACTTTACTATCATCTCTCTCTCTCCTCCCTGCACTCATTTTTAATTTAAAATTGACTTTACTATATCTGAAGAAGAAAAACCTTGAATCTGTGGTTTCATTTCTTTTCAAACCCACACCCTCCTCTCCATCTCTACTGCCAACACCGCAGATCAGACCCCCACCATCTCTCACCTGGACTACTGCCTCCAGTCTTGTCTCCCTCAAAGCCATCCTCCACACAGCTGGCAAAGTGATCTATTTAAAACAAAAATTTGACCAGGTCACTCTTCTTAAAATTCTTGAATAGTTCACCATCAAGCTAAAATCTCTTTAATTGCCTTCAAGGTCTTTTATGATCAGGTCTCTACCTACTTCTCGAGGTTACCTTCCCCTCTCCAAACTTCAAATTCTAAACTTTAACACACACCAGGATGCTTCCTGCTTTTTTGTGCCTTTGCTCACGTAGTCCTGGCTACATGGAATAGGATCTCAACCCACCCTTCTTTTGACTGGCTCACGTCTCCTCATTTTGTAACACTCAGTGAGATGTATTTTAATCTTAAAACAGAATTAACTTGTTTTAAAAATGGCTTCATAACAGTCTACAGACATTCCTGCGGTAGGATGGATCATAATTTTCCTAATAGTTTTAGAGTTCACTTCATCACATTCCTTCCTCCTCTTAAACAGAATGTATCTTTACAGTTTCAGAGCTAATTAAATTTTGTTTCACATTAAGAATATTATGACTGGGGCGCCTGGGTGGCTCAGTCGTTAAGCGCCTGCATTTGGCTCAGGTCATGATCCCAGGGTACTGGGATCAAACCCTACATCAGGCTCCCTGCTCAGCGGAAAGCCTGCTTCTTCTCCCTCTCCCACTCCCCGTGCTTGTGTTCCCTCTCTTTGCCAAATAAATAAAATCTTAAAAAAAAAAAAAAATTATAACAAATCTGAAGGTATGCCCAGATGCCCTGAAAAGTTAATGTGAATCAGATGCTCCTTGTTTAAATGCAGTTACAAGGAATGGAAATGGAATCAGCTGTATTATGTATTAAGATAACCAGTTAGGATTACCAAACAAAACACCATATTCTATGAAACATCCTCCAAATAAGTCACATGTACTGTTTTTCCTTATGCTTGAGAAAATATCCACTCTAGCAGAATTTCCATGAGACTACAAAATGCCAATCTTTTATTAAAATGAAAAAAAAAGGCTGCCAGAAAGTATAGAGAATATTTGTAATATATATTAGATTCTATACTGAGTATCACATGATCCTCATTAATAAATGTTTCTTGTCAATGATGGTGTTTAACATTATAATGTTTTGTGATTATTACCCTGTTTAATGATTATCGAATAGTTCAAGAACATTTTCTTCTTTTCAACAGAAGTCCCCCTTGTTTGAGGTTATACAAGAACAAAAATCAAGGGTACTAAGAACTTCTGTACTATCACTGACAAAGTTAGAAACAATAATTAAGCAGATATTGAAGCCAACTCTTAAATCCTAGCAGACCAAAACCAGCAACGCCATACAATTATACCTTACTTTGTGAAACCCAATATATGAACACTTAAGGTTTACAAATCTAATAATTTTAGAGAACATCTACTATACGTCATCATTCTGAGTTTCCAAATATAAAAATTATAAATCACTAATAACACTATTTGGACTTAGAAAAAAACACTCTCTGTTCTGTCCCCAAATCTGCTTCTCTCCCACAATTCCCCATATCTCACTTAACGGCAATTTCCTCTTCTCAGCTGCTCAGGCCAAAAACCTTGAAGTTTAAATACAAACTTCTCGCTATAAGGGATGCCTGGGTGGCCAGTTGATTAAGCATCTGCCTTTGGCTGGGGTCATGGTCCCAAGGTCCTAGGATAGAGTCCCACACTGGGCTCCTTGCTCACAGGGAGCCTGTTTCTCCTTCTGTCTGCCTCTCTCTCTCTCTAACAAATATAATCTTTAAAAAAAAAAAAAAAAAAAAAAAAAACTAATGGGGGCACCTGGGTGGCTCAGTGGGTTAAGCCTCTGCCTTCAGCTCAGATCATGATCTCAGGGTCCTGGGATCGAGCCCCGCATCGGGCTCTCTGCTCAGCAGGGAGCCTGCTTCCCTCTCTCTCTCTCTGCCTGCCTTTCTGCCTACTTGTGATCTCTCTCTGTGTCAAATAAATAAAATTTAAAAATTTTAAAAACCTAATAATATATGTTAGCTAACTGAACATAATAAAAGAATTTCTTAAGAAAAATAAATATACAACTTATTTTTAAAAAGCTAGCTATAAGATGAGTAAGTTCTGGGCATCTAACATATACCACAGTGATTATAGTTAATAATACTGTATTATCTACTTGAAAATTGCTAGAGTAGATATTAAATGTTCTTACCACAAAAAAATAAGTAATTATGTGATGTGATGCAGGTATTAGCTAATGCTGTGGTGGTAATCATTATGAAATACCTAAGTATCAAATCAACACACTGTACACCTTAAACTTATGCAAAATGTCCATTATATCAATACGGCTGGGTGTGGGGACCAAAAGTAAAATCCTTAGAATCACTCAGGACTCTTTTTTTTTAAGATTTTATTTATTTATCTGACAGAGATCACAAGCAGGCAGAGCGGCCGAAAGAGGGAAAGGGAGAAGCAGGCTCTCCGCTGAGCAGAGTTCGACATGGGGCTCAATCCCAGGATCCTGGGATCATGACCTGAGCCGAAAGAAGCCACTTAACTGACTGAGCCACCCAGGTGCCCCTCAAGACTCCTTTTCTGCACTCACATACTACATCTAATCTGTAAGGAAACCTTATTGGCATTGCCTTCAAAAACATACCCAGAAAAAACAAAACAAAACAAAACAAAACAAAAACATACCCAGAATCTATTCATGTCTCACGCCCTTCACCACTACTACCCTGTTACCACCATCATCTCTCTCCTGGGCTTCACCACACTCTTGATTTCCACACTTCTAGCCTTGTTCTCTGTCTATTCTCAACACACCGCCAGTTTTTAAAGCATAAAAGTCAGATCGTGTTACTCCTCTGCTCAAACTCTTTGATGGTTCCCTACCATAGAGTAAAAAGAAGGCTTGCAAGGGCCTACAAGGCTCTTCACAACTTGTCTGGCCCATATTTGTCTATACTCCTCCCCTGGTTTACCTCATTCTGGATACTGGCCTCCCTGCGATTACCTGAACAAGGCAGGCACGCTCCTGCCTCAGGGCGTTTGTACTGGCTATTTCTTCTAAAACATTCCTTCCCCAAGACACTCACATGACACTTCACTCAAGTGTGTCCCTCCTGGTACAGCATTCTGACTATCCTATTTTAAAATGTGGCTATTCCTGACACCACTCCCACCTCCCCCCATGTCTCCTTCCCTAGTCCTCTCCATAGCTCTTACTACCGCAAACGATATAATTTACTTATTATATTCGTGTATATTACCTAACTCCCCCCAACTAGAATATCAATTTTATGAAGACAAGGATTTTTGCCTGCTTTGTTCACTGATAAATTCCAAGCACCCAGAATAGTGCATGTATGTAAGAGTCTCTCAAAAAACATTTGTTGAATAACGAATCATGTGTAGTGTTATATTCACATGCTGTAGTGCTATGAGAGGACAGGATAGAAAACAAAACTCTGGATCACAAAAGGTTTCAGAGAAGAGAAAGCATTTAAATTAGATGAGCAGGAATTGTGCACTGATGACATAGCTGACAGGCTGTCAACGCGTAAGGACATGTCCACAACATTTGATTCATCTGACCTGGAGACAAGCTCCATCAGCTCAAAGAAGGTTTGTTAAAGGCAAGTTCAGCTTAAAAACCACATTATTTGAAAAAAGGCAGGGGCGCGTGGGTGGCTCAGTGGGTTAAGCCTCTGCCTTCGGTTCAGGTCATGATCTCAGGGTCCTGGGATCGAGTCCCGCATTGGGCTCTCTGCTCAGCATGGAGCCTGCTTCCCCCTCTCTCTCTTCCTGCCTCTCTGCCTACCTGTGATCTCTCTCCGTCAAATAAACTAAAAAAGCCTCTGCCTTTGGCTTGGGTCATGGTCTCAGGGTCCTAGGATCGAGCCCCATGTCAGGCTTTTCTGCTCAGCAGGGAGCCTGCTTCCCCTCTCTCTCTACCTGCCTCTCTGCCTACTTATGATCTCGCTCTGTGTCAAATAAGTAAGTAAAATCTTAAAAAACAAAAAAAAGGCAATGACAATTTTATGTAAACTTAAAAAGATTATTATAGGCCAAACAATACTGCGCATTTATCAAATATACAAAAAATAAATACAGGATAAAAGTAATTTTTGAAGCCAAAGTACTAAAAGAACCATGACTTGGAAAACAATCCTTTTCATTTCCCACTCCCTTTCTTCCCATCTCTGCTTCTATGATCTTTTTGGTCAAGTCAAAGATCTTATTTCCTTCCTTTCTTCTTTCTTCCCACTCATGCTTTTGTTCTCATAGAACTAAGGGTCAATTTCCTGTACAATCAGTCTGCACAGGATATCCACTTAAACACCATCCTATCCGCTAGCACCAAACAAAAGGGAAAATGTTCTGAAGACAAAAAACATCCTAACATTTTCCTAAGACCAAGAATGAACATGTATTAAATCATGAAGAGTTAAAGAACTAAATGCAGGAGAACAAGCTAAGGAATAAGGGCAAAAACAAACAAACAAAAAACCCATAGGAAGGGCAGGTAAATGTCACCATGTTATTCAGTGGGTCTAGTCTATGCCACTTTACTCATCGGCTTAAAACAGACACAGCTGGATGATTCAGATGCACTGTGCCCTCACAAATCCAACCGTGAAAGTTAGGAATGGGTTTTTGGTTCTTTTTTGTTTTTGTTTTTCTTTTTGTTTTTTTTTTAAAAAACAATGTGAAGTGACTACTATATATTAGGTGCCTTAGCGGGTTGATCTTTCATTAATCACTATTACCGAGGTAATCATGGACTTAAGATGAGACAATAGACTTGATTTTCACCTATGCAACACAGGACCCAGCTAGCAGAAATATGACTATTAAGTAAAGGTAATTTTATTACTTTTATCTGAAAGACTTGCAGAAGACAATAAAAATAAGGCAAAAACATAGAAACAGCAGTTGGTACAAAGTAAATTATCAGGATTAAAGAAGTTAAAATCCAGAATAAGACTCAGACTCAAATTCAGAGACAATTCCTAAATTTAATGTTTAATTTTATTAAAAAACACTTTCACCAATTAGT